ACTTGCATATATTTTTAACACACTGTAAATCATTTAAAAATTTTCTTTGTCTTTGAATCTCTCTTTACTGTATATCTCTCTTTTTCTGACCACACGAGCCTTTAAATTACTGAGCAATATGAGTAGGATTAAAGTCGTGGCTTTGCCAGGTAGATCCAGTCCATTCCTTAGCTTTCCAGCCTCATGGCGGAGATACGGGCTGTAGCCATGTTTATAGCCACAATTCTATGGCGTTTCAAGGTTCCTGCCAGCCAGCGAGCTACAACAGACAACAGTCAAGTTCTCTCTCTTGGTAGTTGGCCCTCCTGCCTCAAACAGTCAGAGTTTGCCCTGGCAGGATGGCCCAAAAAGCCAGCATTTTTAAACGGCGCAGCTTTTTTCCTGCTACAGCTGAAAACCGAAAAGCATGCGTTCAGCTTTTTGTCAACACCGTTTAAGTGTTTCGTGCCAGGACCTCTTAATGAGCTGCAGGGTTTTGCAGCTAAAGCTGAGTCAGGAAGCCTCTCTTAGATGAGAGTGCTTGCTTGCCTCTAGCAAGCAGAGTAGACCCGAGAGAGTGCTGCTACCAAGAAACCATGCACAAAGCTGTCATTTTGTTCTAGAATTACTTCCCAAGCTGTCTCAGGCTTTATGTGAAAGCAGTTGTCCACGTGGGCGCCATTTGTAGTAATAGGAGCGGCGGGGCTCCGTCCCCAGCACCCCGGCCACCTGGCTAGCTTATGCCCGAAATAACAACACAAAAACTGTATTCATTTAAACACTGCTTGCCCATTATATCTAGCCTCTTCTCGGCTAACTCTAGCACCTGGACTAGCCCATTTCTAATAATGTGTGTAAGCACCCCAAGGTGTGATTACCGGGAAGATTCTAGCCTACGTCCATCCTGGGTCGGAGCTTCATTGCGTGTGGCTCTGAGAGCAGAGCTATCGGGAGAGCGGAGCATGGTGTCTCTGCTCCAGAGAGCAAAGCTGTCGAGTCTGAGCTCACTTCCTCTTCCTCCCAGCATCCTGTTCTGTTTACTCCTCCCACCTATGTTTTAACCTATCAGGGCAAGCAGTTTCTTTATTTAATTAACCAATGACCTTCCTCCATCAGCTTCCCTGACCATTTGGGTTGAAAGGCTTGGCATTCTCTGCTCTCCTTTTCCCACATCCCTGCTTTAGTTTCACTCCCAACCTCATACAAGCTTCCTGAGTTCAGAACTTGGTGGCTGTTCACTCCTGCATCCTTGATGCTGAACTAAGGGGTAAGCAACTCATTCCATCCATGTTCACAAACGGATGAACTGGGTAAAGAAGGAGCCCGCTGGATGGGGGACACACCATCCTACCCCCAAGTGATGGAGGCTGACTGTTCCTCAAGGGCAGTGTGTATCACAAGACCACTCAGTCTTTTCCCCCGCTTCTAGGCTGATTTGCACCTGAACTCCCCTCTGCTCATATCCACATCCCCATATCGGGCTTTCTCCTGCAGCCATCTGTCTGGGTAATGAAATGCGACTGTCAACCGCAGACTCCATGTTGAATAGCTTTCCCTTACTATCCACAGGGAAAGGAACAAGCATCTCCGGGACGAACGGGATATAAGTTTTCAGGTAATTGGTTCACTCTCTTGGGGATGGGGCAGAGTTAGACAAGGCCCAGGGACAACTGATCAAGACTGCCCTGATCCTTACGGCATGTTGGGTCCTTTCTATATGGGCAGGATGAAAGTATAAGATATTATGCAAGCAATAAAAAGGTAATCACACACAAATTTTCCATGAAGGGAAATAAATGCCTTCCTCTTGGCACAATCAGACTCAAGTGTTTGGAAGAGCCACGCGTTTCTTGGATGCAAAAGTGACGGTTCCATCCGTGAGATGGCACAGTTGAAATGTCATTATCACCTGAAGTGAAAGGCTCAGTTTGTTCTTTCATTTAAATTTTTATCTCCTGATAAAAATCTCAGACTTTGCACTGTCAGAAAGCAAATTTACAGTGCACACATAGCTGTTTATACAGTTGATCTCACGTACATTTCCTTCTCTCCGTACCCGAGCACAGTGCTCCTTCCTCTCTCGAATGGTGTGCCACCCACAGGGCTTCACCGGGCACGCCGAAGAGACAGAATACTGCACCTCCTTCTCCACCTCCCTTTTAGGACAGGAGACACTGGCTTCCCTGAAAGGGCAGGGCGGCTCGAGAGGAATTCCTCATTGTGAGATTCTCATGCCGTGAACTTGTGTGTTCCTGGAGAAGGAATTGGTTACCTTTGCCCATGATCCCAACTGTCACTGAAGGAAGGAGAGTTCCTGCCCTCATTCTCCCAGGTTGTAAGGCTATTTGAGGAAAAAGACCATCTCCAAGAGAGGGTGGTGTGTGCTGAGGCCTTGGCTGAACCCATAAGGTCAGCCTCTGAGGGCTGGTGTGCCTTGCCTCAGGCCCTGCCTGGCTTACGCTGCTGTCCCGAGGGTCCTTGTCATTCCACTTCTTCTTTGACATCACAGGCCAGCGGGCAACTGTCTCAGCTGCCCACGCATGTGTACTGTCAGAGCAAGACTCAAGCCAACACTTGTTGGTCTGATAATGAGAATGATTATAATTGTTTTGGAAGAAATAGTAATTTTTGAAAACTCCCAACCAAATACCTTTCTGAACCCTTCACCTGCCCAACGCATTTTGTTTTGAAAGAGACAGGGCGGAAGGAAGAGCACCAGGAGGAAATCAGAGAAAAGGGGTAGAGCCCAATTGATGCAGAATAGTCATTAAAGATTTGCCTGGAATCATTAAAGTCATGCCCTCAGGGGTGCTGGGGGCTCAGCAGTTCCTCCTCTCATTATGAGTCGACAGAAGGAAGCCTGGGTCGGCTGATTAAGGCAGAACTTGCTCTGTGATCTGACTCCACGCGTCTCCTGGAGGAAGTCTGTCCCAGGTTCTGAGCCCTGCTCCTCTAAGTTTCTGTGTTACAGGTATCTGGGCAGTTCATCCACATCCAGCCTGCTTCCACAAGTGACTGCAGAAGTCCTGGGCTAGTGAGGGTGTGGTGGGCAGAGCCCTGAGCTAGCTGCCCCTTTGGGTGGCTCCCTATCTCAACACCTCATGGGCTTTGGTGGGAAAGGGAGATTAGAGCCACAAGGAAGGATGTGGCTTAAAATACCAGGAGCTTTTGGACTGTACATATTTTCCTATGTAGTAAATATCTTTGTCTTCTTTTTTGATCTCTTGCAAATTACCAGTGTCCCTGTGAAGAATAACCCCGAAGGCCCCAGGCACTCCACTCTGTATTCCCTCCTCTAAGTGGATTTCTGGAAAGGAGATGGGGAATCCTAGTTGTGGTGTGTGTGTGTGGAGGGGGGGCGGGGGATACAGGGCAGTGGGTTACTGAACTGGCTGCGGGGGAGTGGTGGTCAGGAAGCCTGCCCCGCTTCTCCCATTTAGAGTCCTGTCTAGAGCCTTCCCTCATTTCTGCTCAAGCATCAAGATGAATCCACAGGCATGGATCTCAGGGCATTTTGTGTTTCTGCAGAAAGATAAGGCGGCCAAGGCAAACACAGCTGTTTCCAAGGCAAGCAGGAAGCAGAGATCTGGCTCTGTGATCGGCAAATATGTGGACAGCAGGGAACTTCTCGGGAGGTAAGTCATCACCCACCATTCCTCCTTCCTCGGTTCAGTCATTTCACACCTTTTGGGAGCTGCCTCTGGGCCCCCATCTACTGGTCTTTGAGCTGTGGCCCTACTAGGGAGGCCTAGAATCCTGGAGGACATGGTCCTCTCTGTTGTGACATCCAAACTGGTTGGAGACTACTCAGAGCAAACCTGTAGGACGGACACCATCTCAGCAGCTGTCCTGCCCTGCTGAGAGCCTGCAGACAGCCATTGATGGGAACTGCAGACCAACTGAGAAAGGAAGGAAGGAAGACGAGGAAAAGGAGGAGGAAGAGAAGTTGATCAAGGAGGAAGTGACTGGACAGTGCGCCATTTCCCGAATCCACTTGGTTTCTCTGGAATATACTGACTGGAATACTGACTGTGAGCTGAATTAAAATGTCATATAGAATCACCATTAGCTGGAACCCTTTAGAGACAAAATTAAGGCTTGTGATTGACAGATCATTCCAACGATTCATGTTTAACTAACTCAAAGACAACATGTTATGTAGCTGTTGGAGGGCACATGAATTGCGGAAAGGGTCAGCCTGCTGCTCATTCATACAGACAAGCCAGTCCCCTTCTCCTCTTTAGAGCATCCACACGGATGGACACAGAGAGGTCAGGGCAGCCTTTCCCTCCAATATCAGATTGAGGGAGAAGATGTGTAAAATCACTTACAGAGACGTGCAAGCATGAACTGAAAAGATGCATAAAGTAAAAGTAACTCTGGGATGGAAATGGGCTGATCAGGGAAACCCCTGGGTCAGATCATCATGAATTATCTTGCAATAGCTCAATAATGAGGTACAATCTGGAGGCCAAATTTCTACTCTTGTATTTGCCAGCCTGCTGGTTTCTCCGAACTGAATGGATTTCTAGATTGATTGACTTGACAGTCATTTGTAGATTACCTACTTTGCATCTGACATTCTTTCAGGCCTTGCGACTTTCCCACTATGTCTCTCCACTAGCAAATGCTCATTTAATAGAGAGGTGTTGAGTGGCCACTATTTGTGAGGTCCAGTGCCAGTCACTGGAGCAGAGTTTTGCAAAACAGACCCTTCCCTCTCTCATGAGCTCACAGCCAAGCGGCAGAAATAGAGAATAATCCGCTAAACATCAAAGTGTGTGCTCTGAATTCCAATATCGATTTTGGCAAAAGCAGCTACTCTCTCTACTGCTGGCAGGAAGTGTTTGGTGGCAAAACAAAAATGAGCTTAGACATGCTAAGCTGAAGCCATTACGGAATGTCAACAGCACTTGAGATGTTCCCAAATAAAACACTTTTTCCAAGAAGAGCTTCATTTTAGAGCACACTTAAATGGTTGTTTCTTTTTCTGGTAGAAAACTTTCAAGAAAGTGTATGTGTGTGTGTGTGTGTGTGTGTGCGCGCGCGCACGCACGCGTGTGTGTGTGTTTGCATGTGTATGTACATGTTCATGTTGCATATACAAGCAGCTAAGAATGGACAGGGATACTGTGTTGAGAACGAGCTAATCAGATCATGGTCTCGGTAGTGTACAGATACAGAGGAAGGTGTGCTGGAGAGAAGCCAGTTGGCTTTTATTTAACCTGTATCATAAGTAGAGAAAAGTGTTCAAATTTCTGTAAATCTTTTACTCTCTATCCAAACCGATTTACCGCCGTTGAAAGTAAAGACTGTCTTAATTTGTCCTTCAGAATCTTAGCTAGCTTCAGAAAGTAATGGGTTCACATTGGTTTTCTTTTCCCTTGCTATTATGGACCTTAGGAAGAACAAACACCAGAAGCCAGGAGCAAGGTCAATGACGCTTCTTTGTTCAGCACTGTTTCTGTGTCCTTTAATTAAACAGTTCCTTTCTCCATTTCTCCTTTGACCTTGTCACCTTGCTGGTTCATCTGTATTCCTTTTCTTGCATTCATGTGTGTGTGTGTGTGTGTGTGTGCCTGTGTATGTGTTCATAGATCATGCCTGTTACCTTTGAAATACTCTCACCTTGAACTGTTCATTAAGACAGAGAAGGATCTCAGTGTTCTGGATACCTGTACAGATTTTGCTCCCCAAACCCTTAGAAAACACAGTCTGTGCCCTATGCCCCAACTGCATAGGCTTCCTTCCTCCTCCTCTTGTCCTCTTTGCTCGTAGCACCTAAATGCTTCCAGAAGCAAGTATATACTAAAGTAAAGGCCACCTGCTCCTCCCTCTATTTTGGGAAGTCAGAAAGGAAGAGGGGGATGCATGACCCAAGCCCATTTATAATGATCTGTCTCTGAGTCAGGGGACATCTGTCATGGGTAGGAGGAGGTCCCCCACAGCGACAGGACTCGAACAGTGCTGAGGGATGCTCCGTGCACAGGTGCTCTATGAGGGTGCCCTACGTGGGTGCATCTTATATAAGTGTGCACTGTGTGGGTGTGCCCTGTGTGAGAGTGTCCTGCATGGGTGTGTCCTGTATGAGTGTGCACTGTGTGAGTGCGTCCTGTGTAAGAGTGCCCTGTGTGGGTGTGCCCTGTGTGGTGCGTCCTGTATGAGTGTGTGCTGTGTAGGTGTGCCCTGTGTGGTGCGTCCTGTATGAGTGTGTGCTGTGTAGGTGTGCCCTGTGTGAGAGTGCCCTGCATGGGTGCGTCCTGTATGAGTGTGCACTGTGTGGGCGTGTGCTACTTGGCTATCCCTCTCATGCATTCTCTTACATATGAACAGGCTAGGTGGATGGACCCTGTTCTGTGATGAGGAAACAGAGGTGTGAGGGGTCGATGTCCTTCCATAAGGACATGCAGTTGAAGAGGGCGTGTGGCGGGAGCAGAGCCCGCCCACATTATTGTTCTCCTAGGGCACCTATCTCCAACCCTGTGTATCCCTTTCTTCATTCCCTTCTCCTTCGTTGAACAAACCAGGCCATAAGAATATATGTGTGCTGTTTGCTGCATCCATCCTCTCTTAGTCCAGCACCACACGAGGACAGGCCTTTAGTTTTAATTGATACTTGGTAATGATCTTCACCAGCATCTTCATCACTGGCAGTCATGGCGGCAGCAGCAGCAGGTGGCAGCCCTTATGATGCTGTCAAAACCATGAGTTGAGTGATGGATCTGTTGTCTCCTCTCCTTCCCCAGAGCTCTTTCCAGTGCTGCCGGCAGGCAAGTATCTCTCCACTTCCATATTGGTATTTTACCATTTTCTCCTATGCATCTTCTTCCTGTCCCCGTTCTGATAGCCAGTCAGTGGAGGAGGATGAGGCCTTCGGCATCCTGAGGAGGAGGAGTTCTGTGGGCCTGAGTGCCTATCTCCTGGCAGAGGAGGAGTCTGGAACTGGGGAGCCAGGGACTGGGGTTCCACGTCGCCATGCACTCCGCAGAATCATCTCCATTGAGGAAGACCCCCTGCCTCAGCTCCTGGAAGGTGGCTTTGAGAAGCCACTGAGCAAATGCCCAGAAGAAGAGGAGGTCTTTGACCAGGGGGCAGAAGGGCGAAGTGTGACAGCCCCCGCCTTGGAACTCATCCCTACGTCTCCCCGAGGGCAGCCTGTCGGAAAAGAAGCCCTCTACAAGGTGAGTTCCAGGCAACGCTACTGAGATCTGTCCCCACTATCTTTGAGCCCAGGAGCTCCAAAGGACACTTAGGGGCTGCAGTAGGCTTTGGGATTCACCATGTTCTGTGTCCCAAAGGTCTTCTTCCCTTCCTTACACCTTTTCAGCTGAGCAGCAGAGAGACTCATTGTTTTCATAACTTCCCTTGTTAACTTCTGTTCCCCCATATTTCACACGCGCTCTTTGAACTCAGATCTGAAGCATTTATCGAACACGCCCGCTGGAGTCAGTGTCTGCTAAGACCCGTTACAAGTGGTCATTTGGTACAGCTCTGTCGAGTGTGCTGGACATCCTTTTTCTGTTGATCTCGGCCGGCTGAGTCTCTTCCGTTCCCCAGTGGTCCGTGGACTCCTCCCTCCAGGAGTTTCTACCCACCCCCCCCCCCTCATTCAAGTTTCCCTCTGGATTCTGTAAGGAGAACAGTTCAAAGGTCATGCCACTTGCTTTCTATTATTGACTGCTTTCCAGAAGGGTGATCCCTCTTTGTCTTGTGGGACTTATGACCCTCTGCTGGTTTGTAATGTGCACTTTGAAATAGGCCATGCAGCCCTTGGCCTTTACCCTGATCCTTCAAAACATCTCTAGAAATTCCTTGGCGGTATGCAAGGGGCACCTCCCTTGGGCAGCCCCCAGCCAATGGGTTTCTATCTCTCCCTGCACTTCTTTCCAAATAAATCCTTTTAATACGGGGACCTACACTCACTCTCAGTGGGCACGGATGGATCAATATTAAAGTCATCCAAGATGCCACCCAGTATCACGATATGTGGCCAAGAGGTCTGTAAGAGACAGGCCTAGAGGAGAAGTCTATGCTCCCATGTTCTGAGGCCTGTCTTTGCCGTGGTCTGATGGATGTTGACAAGTGTTTTACCCCTCTGCCAGAAGGAAAGATAGGAACCCAGAGGGGAGAAGATTGGGCATCCTGCCTCTCTGCTGGGCTCTTAGCTTTTGGAGCTGTGTGTTCTGTAACTGTTCGTCTCTCACAGAGCACCCCAGTGCCCCCAAGGCGCCTCACAATGCCGTGCCACTATTTTGCTGCAACAACAGAGAGAACCTTGTGTGGAAGGCTGCCCCGAGGCAGACCTCCATGAGGCATAGGCGATGCCACTCTTATGGAGAGAACCTGGTAATAGGAATCAAGGGCCATGACCTTTCAACCGGTACTTCTACTAGTGAAAAGTCAAGACTGTAAGTGCTGCTTAGAATAGAAGAACATAAAAAAAATAAGGCTACTAAAGGGACATAAATTATATTGCAATAATTTAGTAGAATGTTACATACCTGCTAAAAGAAATCACAATTCCTAAAAGGTCTTTAGTGATTCAGAGGGATTTGTATTGTTATTGAGTAATTATGATAACTAGGATGAAATAATATATATTTGTTTCTCAATGTTCAAATAAAACATTTTCTCATATCTATAAAGGCTGAAAATGCATATTATGTGAATAGTGGCTGTCTCAGACCATAAAGAATTTTTACTTTTCTTCCTACAACTGTATATTTCCCAAACTTAACAATTATATTACTTTAAATTTTTAAATATCTATTTTATTTGCAAATGTGTGTAGATGTCAAAGGACAGTTTGTGGGAGTCGCTTCTCCTCTTCCACATGTGAGTCCTAGGGATAGAACCGGGTTCTCAGCTTTGGTGGCAGGCACCTTTATTGCTGAGCCATCCTGTCAGCCCAGAATATGCCGTTTTTGCTTGGAGGTTTTCATTTTCTGACTTGGGTTCTTGGTGTTACTGTTGCTTGTCTGTCATCTGTTTTGTGGTGTTGGGGACAGAAACTCGAGGCCCTGTAATGGGGGCAAACCCTTTATGTCTATACCCTTGTTTTTTAAGCATGTCGGAGGGAAAGAAAGATGACATCAGGCTTCCTGTACCTTGCCTGTCCCTCCAACCCGTCTGTCTGTCCCCAAGAAAAGAGAGCAGGCTGAAGGACCTCCCTGCTCCTGTAGGTTAAGCTGTGATATCTGGACCATTCATGGTCTCCTATGTGAGTTCTTCCCAGGGAAGGGCCAGGTAGCCGTGGGGCTTAAGGCCAGGCAACGCTGCAATCACAGCCATGACCACCACTCTACCACCTCCTCCTTGGATGCCACCTTCCCACCCCTTACCTGTTTCTGCTCTGCCACATTTTGAGTGAACAAATGACAGTTGGAGACATCCGGATAAAAGACAGGCAGACGCCTGTGCCCTGTGTCTTCGATGGATAAAGAAAATGGGGCGCAGGGCATTATTTTAATTTTATCTTACATTCTTGTAGTTGACTTTAAATTCTCCCCTGAAGTCTACTGTGGCTTTGTTCCAAAATTCAAGTGCTGATCACATCAGCTGTGCTTTGTTATAGTGTTTGCTCACCAGATCAGCTAATTCCCTCAAATCCACTTATAAATCCACCCAAAAGAGCCTCCCCCTCTGACCAGCGGTGCTGAGCCAAGCTTGAAGGTGAGGCACGTGGTGAGATAGTATTCTGGAAGGAATAGTTGCCTGTGGAGGCTGTCCCTAACCACCTCCTGCTCACTGTCTGTCCCAGAGAAAGTTTAGCCATCCCGGGTCACAGTCCAAGGATGGTGGTACTTCAGTCTTGCTTTGTTCTCTGGGGCTCGACGACAGAGCAATGTGTGGTTGCCTGTGGAGACTCCCCACTTCTGAGTGGGATGGTGTCCTAGCCTGGCTTCTGTTGCCACGACCAAAACACTGACCAAAACCAACTGAAAGGGAAGAAAGGGCGTATTTTATCACTTCCAGGTCACAGTAGGTTGTTGAAGAAAGTCAGGACAGGAACTCAAGACAGGAACTAAAGCAAACACTATGAAGGAATTGCCGCTTTCTGGCTTTCTCCCCAGGGCTTACTTAGTTTGTTTTTGTATATGACCTAGGACCACCTGTTCAGGGGTGGTCCTATCCACAGTGGACTGGGCCCTCCCATATCAGTCATCAATCAAGAACATGCCCCTCAGCCTTGCTTACACACCAGTCTGATGGAGGCAGTTCTTCAATGGTTCCTTTCTCAGATGGTTCTAGACAAGAACTAGCAAGCACAAGGGTGGAAAATCACCACCTGGCTCTCCGTGGCCAATGACCACGTGATAATTGAAGTTGAAGAGATGATGCAAGGGCCATGTGCAGAGATTCAAGGGGGTCTGCATTCCACCCAGAGACTGTGTGGTGACTTATCTTGGGGACACATGAACATTAATAACTATCTACTCTAGACAGGGTACCTATGGCAGAGTAAATAAAGGATTCCAGCCAGTGAGAGAACTTGTGGGCTAGTTGGGCTTACTTACCAGAGCATGGGTGAAAAACTCAAAGGCAGCGTTACCACTATCTAGCCTACCCCAGCAAGGATGGTGACTCCAGAACTGGAGCCCCCTGCACAACTTGCAGGCAATTCCACCTGAGAGAACTTCAGAGAGTCTCCTCACCAAGACTAGTTGTCTCTGTTTATGTAACCTTAAGGAGTCTGTGAATCTTGGAGCTTTCAGAGCTTTGGAAGCCTCCTAAGTTTCTTGAGTCTTAGGAAGCTCCCTGCTCCCTCCTGGAGGAATGCTTCAAGTTAAAGGAAGAAGTTAAGCACTGGTACCCAACCCTGTGGAGGTTTTCTTTCTCTGCCCTCTACCTTCTAAAGACTATCTTGTGCTTCTCTGCTGCTGTGATACACGCCACGACCAAAAGTAACTTGGGGAGGAAAGGGTTTATTTCAAATTACAGCTCGTAGTCATGAAGAGGAGCCGGGACAGGAACCAGGAAGCAGGAACTGAAGCAGAGGCCATTGAAGAATGCTGCTTACTGCCTTGCTTCCCATCACTTGCTCAGCCTTCTCTCTTGTAGACCCAAGACCACCTGTTCAGGGAGGGGGCACCATTCACAATGAACTGAGCCCTCCCACTAGATGCTGAAAAAGCCTTCAGCAAAATACAACATCCCTTCATGATAAAGGTCTTGGATAGAGCAGAAGTACAAGGAACATACCTAAACAGAATAAAGGCAATATACAGCAAGCCATCAGCCAACATCAAACTAAATGGAGAGAAACTCAATATGATTCAACTGAAACCAGGAACAAGTCAAGGCTGTCCACTCACTCCATATCTATTCAATATAGTTCTTGAGGTCCTAGCTAGAGCTAGCACAAAAGGAGGTCAAGGGGATACAAATCAGAAAAGAAGTCAAACTCTCAGTATTTGCTGATGATGTGATAGTTTATATAAGCGATCCCAAAAATTTTACTAAGAAACTTCTATAACTTATAAGTACCTTCAGTAATTTAGCAGAATACAAGATTAACTTGGAAAAATCAGTAGCCCTCCTGTACAAGGATGATAAATGGGCTGAGAAAGAAATCAGAGAAACATCACCCTTTATAATAACCACAAAAAGCATAAAATATCTTGGAGTAACTCTAACCAAACAAATGGAAGACCTGTATGACAAGAACTTTAAATCTCTGAAGAAAGACACCAGAAAATGGAAATATCGCCCATACTCTTGGGTGGGTAGAATTAACATAGTAAAATGGCTATCTTACAAAAGCAATCTACAGATTCAATGCAATGCCCATTAAAATCCCAGCAAAATTCTTCACAGACTGGGTAGGTAGAATTAACATAGTAAAATGGCAATATTAATAAAAGCAATCTACAGATTCAATGTAATGCCCAGCAAAATTCTTCACAGACCTCAAAATACCAATACTCAACTTCATATGGAAAAGCAAAAAACCCAGAATAGCTAAAACAATTCTGTACAATAAAGGGACTTCTGAAGGCATTACAATCCCTGACTTCAGAGCTACAGTAGTGAAAACAGCCTGGTATTGGCATAAAAACAGACAGGAGGACCAATGGAACCAAATTGAAGACCCAAATATCAATCCACACTACTTCGAACCACCTGATTTTTGACAAAGAAGTAAAAAATATAAAATGGAAAAAAGAAAGCATATTCAACAAATGGTTCTGACATAACTTGATATCAACATGTAGAAGAATGAAACTCCAGGCACAAAACTCAAGCCCAAATGGATCAAAGACCTCAACATATAACCAACCACACTGAACCTCATGGAAGAGAAAGTAGGAAGAACATTTAAATGCATTGGCACAGGAGACCACTTCCTAAATATAATCCCAGTAACACAGACACTGAGAGAAACAATTAATAAATGGGACATCCTGAAACTGAGAAGCTTCTGTAAAGTAAAGAACACACACACACACACACACACAAACCCGGCAGCCTACAGAATAGGAAAAGACCTTCACCAACCCCATGTCAGACAGAGGTCTGATCTCCAAAATATACAAAGAACTCAAGAAATTGGTCATCAAAAAAAAACAAATAATCCAATAAAAAATTGGGGTACAGACCTAAACAGAGAACTCTCAACAGAGGAATCTAAAATGGCTGAAAGACATGTAAGGAAATGCTCAACATCCTTAGTCATCAGAGAAATGCAAATCAAAGCAACAACTCTGAAATTCTATCTTACACCTGTAACAATGGACAAGATCAAAAACACTGGTGACAACTTATGCTAGAGAGGTTGTGGGGTAAAGGGAACACTCCTCTGTTGTTGGTAGGAGTGCAAACTGGTACAGGTGCTTTGGGTATCAGTAGATACTCAAATTAGGAAATAACCTACCTCAAGACCCAGAAATACCACTTTTGGGTTTATACCCAAAGGGTGCTCAATTGTACCACAAGGACACGTGCTCAGCTATGTTTATAGCAGCATTATCTGTCATAGCCAGAACCTGGAAACAACCTAAATACCAAAGAATGGATAAGGAAAATGTGGTACATTTACACAGTGGAGAACTACACAACAGAAAAAATAATGACATCTTGAAATTTAGGAGCAAATGGATGGATCTAGAAAACATCATATTGAGCGAGGTAACCCAGACGCAGAAAGACAAATATTACATGTACTCACTAGACATAAAGCAAAGAAAAATTCACAATCCCGGAGAACCTAGACAACAAAGAGGACCCTAAGAAAAACACATACATGGATCTAATCTACACAGGAAGTAGAAAAAGACAAGATCTCCTGAGTAAATTGGGAGCATGGGGTTCATGGGAGATGGTAGAGGGGGAGGGGAGAGGAAGGAGGGAAAGGAAGAAAAATAAAAACAATAAAAAAAAATGCCCTACAGACTTCCCCACTGGCCATTCTAATGGAGACATTTTCTCAGTTGAAGTTCCCTCTTCCCAGATGACTGTATCTTATATCAAGCAGACGAAAATAAACAAACAACCCCAGCACACTTGCCTTCCCCCACCCCAGTAGAGAATTCTGCTTTCTCCTTAAGCCCCTGCCATCTGGCCCTTTGGCCCCTTGTAATTCACACCCCAGAGCTCTGGGCACACCACTCTCAGTAACTGTTCACATTCCTGGCTTTTTCACTCCATCAGCCAGGGCCTGTCTGCTTGTCCCAGAGTCCCATTGGTGTGAACACATGGGAAAGGCTGTTATTTTCCCTAACAATCTCCTGCTCGTGCTGGAAGGAGCCCCATGCTCCAAGACCAATGCTGGCTGCATTCTGGGGCAGAAGTGGCCTCCCTGGTCCTGGGGTCTCCGTGGACCACCGCAGTGACAATAAAAGGCAGCCTAGCAGCAGCAGGGACTATGGCAGTGCCCAGCAGAGTGTCTTCTGTCCACAGGAGGAAAACACTCCCTCTACCCCAGACCGGCTGTTCAAGATCGTGTTTGTGGGAGACTCCGCTGTGGGGAAGACATCCTTCCTGAGGAGGATCTGTGAGGCTCGCTTCTCCCCAGGCATGGCGGCCACTGTGGGTGAGTTCTCTCCTCAAAGAGGGGATAAAGGGTAATGGGAGGAATGGTGGCACTGGCTGTTCAGTAGTGGGCTAGGAGGAGCAAGGAGAAGCCCATCTCAACCTGCTGGGCTCATGGTGTGTGGGTGCAGTGGGGGGGGGGTAGTGCTTCATAGTTCCAACCTTGTGTTTAGGGAGTTGTGATTGACAGCGGTGGGTGTGAAGTCTTTGTTCCCCTCTGTGAGCCCCCACCTACCTTTGCTACTTCTGCCCCACTTTAAGAAAATAATCTTATGTATGTATGTATGTATGCATGCATACAGGTATGTTACTCTCTCTGTGTGATATATATATATATATATATATATATATATATATATATATATATAGAGAGAGAGAGAGAGAGAGAGAGAGAGAGAGAGGAAGAGAGAGAAAGAATACAAGTATGAAGGCCGAAAGACAGTCTATGGGAGTTGGTTCTCTCCTTTCACTGCATGGGTTCTAGGGATCAAACTCAGGTCACCAGGTTTGACAACAAGTACCTTTACCCGCTGAGCCATCTCGCTAGCTCTCTGTCCCCATTTCAATCAATGGGGCTCCAAACCTTCATACTTCCCAAGATCTGATGGGAACTCCCATGGAGCCAAGCCCTGCTACTCCCAACCTTTCCTATGGGCCTACCCCTGCCTGCCTCACCCTTAGGCCTGTGGATACATGTACACCCAGCACCCTGCAAGGCTTCTTTTACATGCTGACTTGACTTGTCCCATATCCCGGATTTGCTGGGAGTCACGGGGAATTAACTGTAGGAGTGTATTAGGCTCAGCCACCGTTAGATAATCATGGCTGAATGTGTTCCCACTTATGGATAATCCTTTATTCAAAGAGAGGCTTTTGTTTCACCCAAAGCTGCACATGGCGTTGGAGTGTGTGGCGGGATCAAGGGCAGGTTAACCTTTTAGCTTCCACCACGTTGAGTCACTCGACAAAAGAAGAGAGTGTGAATGCTCGCTGTGCCTCTTTAACTGAACGGATGAGCCAGCTGTACTTGACAATGTTGTCAGTGGAGTCTTAGTATCTGAACACTGGCCATGACGTTTCAACCTGTGAGCATTGTGATCAGCCTGATTGACTGAGAAACAGGTCCAGAGAGATTAGGAGCCCTATCCACATTCCCACAATTAGGGCTGACCCTCCCCTGCCTCACACACAGGACATGATTTAGCCCTTTCCATAGTACCCTAACAATGTTGCATTCGTATGCCCAGAGCCCCCTGTGAGTGCGAGGGTCCCTTTTCTGCCTTTAGAGGTGGGCAGAACTTGGGAGCAGGAAAGGCTGGGAGTTTCAGTGGACCATCGAAAATCCTATGTCCTCATCCTGACTCTGCTACTGACTTGTCTGGCTCTGTGACACAGTCCCCCCTTTGGGCTTGATTTTTCTTATGTGAAAAAGAAAGGATTGGGTGTGGGTACCCTGCCTGTTTTCAAGCCCAGGTCTCTGGCCATACTACCCTTTCCACTGGCTTCTGACAAACTAGCTCTACAAGCCAAGCTTTCCAGGACCCTTCCTGGGGGAGATGCAACCCCATGTGTCTTCCCACATGCTTCCGTGCCCTCTGCTTCCTGGTGGCCTTTTCTTATGCAGTTGCATCTTGTGCCTCCCTCCGACGTTATTCTCCATAAAATGAAGGACATCCCAATATGAAGCATCAGACATGAAAGGAAACAGCAGGACAAGCACCGGATGAAAACCCAGGACAGTCTGACCTAGCTATTCTAGGAGGGAAAATCGTCTGCTATCGGTGCCGCAGTGGCTGGAGGCAGAAGGGCTGGCTGGCTTTCCTGGAGGGTGCTCCAGTGTGAGACTGATAAGTCAGGGGTCTACGATGGGCTCATGGTGACCGAGATGTGTTGTGAGCCTCCAGGCTCATCTCTCCTGACAGTGGAGTCAAGCCCGCTTGTATTTCCCACCTCAGGCCCGAGATAGAAGGCTCTGATGAAGAAAACCCACCCATTTGTACTTCCCTGGAGCCCACCACACATTTCGGAAAACTTCCACAATTTAGGAAAAGGACAAACTACAGGTCCTTTATCACAGGACACAAACACACCAGAGTACTAGCAGGTTCTCTAGGGCAAGTTGTCTAGCTCAGGGTGCCTGACCTTGTCCTTTGTGTGTGAACTGATTAGCAACTGCCACATCAGCCACCAGAATACGCTACTTTAAGGATGATGCAACACATCAGAGTCAGTTTCCCAAGGCCACAGCAACACAACCCCCACCCAGAACTCTGGCCAACCCCTTGTCCAGAGCAGCAGATAGGACTCCACTATGTAGTTGGTAACGTTTTACTCTTTGCTCTTTGGGAAACCCATCACCCAGCTCCCCAAAAAATACATGGAGACTTATTCTGTCTTATGATTGCCGAGCCTTAGCTTGACTTGTTTCTAGCTAGCTTTTCTTAAATTATCCCAACTACCTTTGGCCCTGGGCTTTTATCTTTTTCTATTCTATATACATTTCTGTACTTCTTACTCTGTCCTGTAGCAGACCACTCTTTCATTTCCCAGGTGCCCAGGCCTGAATAATCACACAGAAACTTTATTAATATAACACCATTTGGCCAATAGCTTAGGCATATTTCTAGCTAGCTCTTACATCTTGAACTAACCCATTTCTATTCATCTGTGTATCACCATGAGGTTGTGGCTTACCAGGTAAGGTTCTGTTCTGGCATCTTTCTCCTTCAGCAGCTACATGATGTCTCCTTGACTCCTCCTACTCTCTCTCTCTCTATCTCTTCCAGCCTGGCTATTTTCTGCCCTGTTATAGGCCAAAGCAGCTTCTTTATTAACCAATGGTAATAAAACATATTCATAGCATACGGAAGGGAATCCCACGTCATGTGGCTCCTGTGTAGCTGAGTGGGTGGTCCCTGGTGTCCTCCTCTCCTCCCATTTCTTACTCTTCGGTCTTCTCTTTATCTCCTTGTATTTATTCTGTCTGCCTGGCAGCCCCACCTATCCTTTCTCCTGCCTTGCTATTGGCCGTTCAGCTTATTAGACTAATCAGGTGTTTTACAGGCAAAGTACACATCTTCACAGAGTTAAACAAATGCAGCATAAAAGAGTGCAACACGCCTTTGCATCATTAAACAAATGCCTCACAGCATAAATGAATGTAACACATCTTCAACTAATATCCCACAACACCACTCAGCAACACACACTGGGCCTTTCTTCAGACTCACCTCTGTCACTTGAGCTGACTTCCTGGTCTCCTACACTCCATGAGAAAAATGGTGTGTAGAACCTTTGCCTCTGTGTACAATAAGGTAAACCTTGTGGAGTCCTGCCTACTCCACCTCAGGACCCTGCCTGCTCCTTCATGAACAGCTGTTTGAACCTGTAGACATCAGTGGATGGTTTTTGTGGAGCCCTGGAGCTGGAAAGACCCTTGGGAATGGTCTATTCACATCCAGTCAGATTGTGAGGGGAGAGAGGCCCTCAGTGAGAGTGTCCATAAGAGAACAAGTCTCTCTGGCTTGTCCCCAGGGCTCAGGTACACTACTCCACATGGTTTCTTACCCTCCCTGTTTTAATCATGTCCTGTTAGAATGCGCTCTGTTTTCTCTTGACAACCAGTGAGGTCCCCATCCCCATGACCTGTAGGGAATTCCTGAAGCACCCTTGGGCCCTCCTGTAAGGCCAACTTGTGGACATATCCCCTCTCCTCCTTGCATGGTGACAGCCTGGACTGCCTTCACCAGAAAGGCTGGAGTCACCTTCTGGGGACCCTTCAGCTCACCTCTAATCCACACTGCTCTGCAGCTTGCTTCTAGTGACTGGTGATTTCTTTACTGTAGCTGTCAATCTAATCAGGTGGCAAGTTGAAGGACATCTCGATGTCATCATGGAATGTTCTGGCAGAATTTAGAGATTATGAAACACCAATGTAGTGTTCCTTCAAACCTCCATCCCCCTTATTATACAAAGAACAGAATCTCTAAAACTGAGGTGGGATGACATCATCAAGGTCATACTGCCTGTCATTGGCGGGGCCCAGGTCTTCTGGTGCTTGGACCTTTAGAGTGACAGATGGTCTTAAAACTCATCTATCCTGGCCGGGCCGTGGTGGCGCATGCCTTTAATCCCAGCACTCGGGAGGCAGAGGCAGGTGGATCTCTGTGAGTTTGAGGCCAGCCTGGTCTACAAGAGCTAGTTCCAGGACAGGAACCAAAAAGCTACGGAGAAACCCTATCTCCAAAAAAAAACAAAAAACAAAAACAAACAAACAAACAAACTCATCTGGTCCGGGCCCTTTGGCCCCACAGTACTCTACTGCCTCTTCTGTTGAGCTCTTGTTCTCCTGCCATCGTGTCTGGGTGTGCTCATTGTCATTCCATGCTCACCTTATGTTGTCCTTGTGCTCTGGCTGCACACCCAGCCTCTGTGGACTTGCTTACATGCTTCTCTGGCTGCCTGTCTGATGCTGGACAAGGAAATGCCTTTCGCATCCAGCGGGGACTCATGTCAAGCTCACCACTGCACAGAACACATTTGTCCAGCCCTCCATCTACCTCACTCCCTGCAAAATAGAGACACTATCCATCCTCTAGCAACCAATCGAAAAGGTAGAGGTGGCTTTCTGGAGGCAGCCAACACCAGCTGCCCCCAACAATACCCACTCGTCCTTTCCCAGTTTCCCATGCCAAGAACAGAAAGGTCATTCATGGGGCTTCAGGCCCTATGAGGGGTTTCAGATCCGACCCTGCCGGTGGTTACTCAAAAGTAGTGAGAAAGGAGGGAAGAGCATGCTCCACTAAAGCATAGTGAGTTGGGGTACTCCTCCCTCTCATACTTTTAACCAAGAGGAAAATTCACCCCCAGTTCAGCAGCTAGCAGCTGTCAACTGTTTTGATGAGTACACATGACCATGGGCTGCCTAGGGAGAGGAAGATTTAGGTAGCCTGTGCTCCAGGTAAGGATGCTGGAATGGGGTGTGGAGCCTTGACTGCAGTTTCTCATCTCTCTGTGTGTGTGTTTATGTGTGTGTGTGTGTGTATCTGCACACCCTCATGGAGGCCTACATGAAAACAGTGGAAATACAATGAAAACATTCTACTCTTTTTCTCACCCAGATGAATCCATTCCTGTCTCTGACCCTGTCTGTGAAGCAAAGGGCCTGGGGTGACATTTACCACTTCCTGCTTCTTCTGTAACTGCTGAGTTTCTCCTGCTACTCTCTGTGAAGGCTTGTTCCTTGTTCTGCTCTTTCTCCCTGCAGGGTAAGGACTCTTGGGCCTCTGGGAAAGTGGAAAGGGATGCCTTCGAGTTCTGCAACCAGGAGTCATAAATAATAAGGCTTAAAAAACAGCTTTATGCATGTTTGAACATTCTTAGGCTCCCAGGAGAGAAAAAGGCCTATGAAAGGGGTGTTCACCCTGTGAGCAGAGGGCCTTATGTGTCTTATACTAGATGTGAATGTGGCCTAACACCAAAGTGTGGATTGCTTTGGGGGTGGGTTACTCAGTCTAGGGGTTGTAACCCACCCCGCAATCCAGTTACTCCAGGGTCTCGGAGGGGCGCTACCTGGAAGGGAATGAGCTAAGACAGAAGAAGGAGGCCAAGAAAATTTGTCAAAGCCTCCGTTTATTAGGGACGGGTTACAGTTTATATATGGTAAGGAATGGGGGGCAGGGTAACTGGATTCTTGCCGCGTGTTCCAGGTCACGTAGGCCAGGAGGTAGGCTAGGAAGTCAAGTGGCCACACCTGGTTTCCTGGATAGCTGGAATGTGAGGCGGGTTCCGCTAAGAGATTGCTGCTAATTGGGTGAGGGGCATTCTGCAGACTCCCCAGGGTGATGGTTCCTGTAATGATTGTTAGTGGGGAAATGGCTCCTGACACCAAAGTGTAAACTTACCTAAAACATTACCTGATATTCTCTGTGTGTGTGACTCCATTGTGTAGTCCTCACACAATATACATACACACATACATACATACATACATACATACATACATACATACATAGAGTAAGCTATGCCACACAAAATAAAGCACAGGTATGCTTGCAAACCACAGTCATACCCCATTGAGTTTAATGTGTGGCCCAAGACAATTATTCATCTTTCAATGTAGCTCAGAGAATCCAGAAGGTTGGAGAATCCTAGAAGACCTTGTGTTGAGATTTTCAGTTCTCAGGACTGCACAGACTACCTGTCACTGACCTGCCCCTGACCCTCTGGGTAGTCCATCCTGGGGAGGGTCAAGGGCCACACAACTGAAGAGATGATCATAAGTAGTCTCATGATGACTGAGTCCTAGACCCTTCTCAGGAGTGAATGCTGCCTTTGTCCCTTTCTCCTACCTCCTCTTTGTTCTTCTGCTCCCTGCCAACCCCTCCCCTCCTCCTGCTCTTCCTCCACTCATCTTCCTCCTCTCCAAGCTCCCCCTTTATACACCTTTGGGTTATCTGATAGGAATATTAACGTATGCTTCATCCCCTCAAGGATGTTTGAATTTACTAGGAACATTTTGAAAGTGGTTTCACCAAAAGAAGAGATGAGAGGGGCAAGCTACAGAGTAAGGAATAAATGTGATGGTTGTTATCTCATTAGCAAATCTCATTGCACATTGCTTTTGTACATAGGCCCTGACATGACTTTAGCCAGTATCTGTAGTTGGAGGCTGCTTGTTTATCCCCAGCTGTTCAGCTCCAAAATAACCACACAGAAACTATATTAATTATATCACTGCTTGACCTATTAGCTCTAGCTTCTTACTGGCCAGCTCTTACAACTTAATTTAATCCATTTCTATTCATCTGTGTATCACCATGTGGCTGTGTCTTACCAGCAAGATTCTGGATCATTTGTTCCTGGCAGTGGCTACATGGCGTCTCCTGATTCTGTTGTCTTTTTCCCAGAATTCAGTTTAGTTTTTCCCATCTACTTCTATTCTGCCCTGCCAGGCCCAAGACATATTCTTTACTCATTAACCAATAAAAACAACACATACACAGAAGGACCTTCCACACCAAGCATCCTACAGTAGGTGCATAGTGGTATAGTAAGAAGCCCACAACTAAGATGGCTTCATTGATGCCATCAAATCCTTCAGTCTGAAACAGGACCAGAAATCAAGTCTCATGGCTCCCTGTGCAATGCTCAGTCAATCTTCCCACACTGTTCTGTAGCCACTATTCAGGGAAGGTGGGCTGCTCTGGTTCCAGACAGAGAGGCATTGTCTCTGAACTTGGAACCAAGGATTCCCATGGCCAACGCAGCTCTCACGGGCCTGTTTCTCCTTGCAGGCATCGACTACCGAGTGAAGACGGTCACGGTGGACAACGCGCAGGTGGCTCTACAGCTGTGGGACACTGCTGGGCAGGAGAGGTGAGGTGCTGCACACCCGGGTCCCAGGCCAGGGCTCCCAAGGAAGGTGAGTACCTGACGCTGCTCTCCCGTGGCAGGTATCGCTGTGTCACTCAGCAGTTCTTCAGAAAGGCCGACGGCGTGGTTGTTATGTATGACCTCACAGCCAAGCAATCCTTCCTGTCGATCCGGCAGTGGCTGAGCAGCGTGGAGGTGAGCAGTCCCCTTCCTGGGAGGTCTTGGGCTTGCCAGACTTCTCTCTGCTCCCCGACTCTCCCTTGTGGCCCTCAGCATATTCACAACTTTATCCCAGCCCCACCTGCCCTTCCTGGACTCTTCTTCCCATTTGGCTCTGACGTCTGACTTCTCCCACCCTAATCTGCCCCTTTTTCAACGTCTCAGCTGAACCATGCCCTTTGTCAGCTGCTGATCTGCATGTGTCCCATTACCAAGAACATTAGGGGACAAAATATAAGCAGATTTATAAGTTTCTGAGAGAATGGCTAATACAAATCATTTCTCAAAATTCTAAAACACTTACGGGTGTGAAGAACTAAAATTTGAAATGCCATGGGTTGTCTTTTCACTTAACTAATAAAAGTGGCAATGGTATGGGTAGATCCTATTTGAACTTTAAACTCATGACATAATCCTTCCCATCCTATCATCCTCGTCAGCATCATTCTCTTCCTCCCTCCTATCCTCGTCATCCTCCTTTTTGTCCTCTTTCTCCTGTCTTCCCTTCCCCTCCCCTTCTTCCTGATCTACTTTCTTTGTTGTTGGCAGTACCAGGAGAAACATACTCATGATCTGGGTTTTTGGTTTTATTTTATTTTATTTTGCACTTTTTGTCCTTGAAGTCCTGGAATCAGGCTGACATTTCCTGGAAGGTGGGGCAGGGCAGGGAAAGGTTTAGTGACTGTGGGATTCCCCTCTATATGCTATGAATATGCTTTATTACCATTGCTTAATAAAGAAGCTGCTTCAGCCTATAGCAGGACAGAATATAGCCAGGCTAGAAGAGAGAAATATGGGGAGTAGGTGGAGTCAAAGAGATGCCATGTAGCTGCTGAAGGAGAAGATGCCAGAATAGAACCTTACCCGGTAGCCACAGCCTCATGATGATACACAGATGAATAGAAATGGGTTAATTTAAAATGTAGTTAGTTAATAAGTCTGAGATAATAGGCCAAACAGTGTTGCAATTAATACAGTTTCTGTGTGATGATTTGGGTCTGGGCAGCCAGGAAACATAAGAGCGTTTTCTGGCTACATACGTTCTCCTTTCTCTGTACTATATTCTCAGCTCTTTCCCAGTCTTGCACATTGGAGGTCTACATAAAATGCTATTAGACAACAGGGTTTCCATTTGAAAATAGTTAGTCTAGTACAATTTAATATAATCTATCACATCTCAAAGTGAAGAAACTGAGCCTGTAACTTCTACAGATCTAGTCATTCTTCCCCTAGCCTCACACACATACACACACACACACACACACACACACACACACACACACACAGTTTGGATCAGAGCTGGGCAGTCCTAATGTCTGGCACTGATGGCAGTGATGGAGGCAAACACAGGACTACTTTCTCTTCTGTCACAAGAGTGTCACTAGTCTCCAGGGCTCCCAGAGAATCTGGGATCTCACTAGAGAACAAGAGATCAGGCCGAATCTGGTGAACAGGAAGAAATTTTGGGAGCTATGAGCTTGGTCCTTCACACAATCTTGTGCTGAGCGAGCGCCATGTGCCTCTCCTTGGTGGAATGGGGTCTTCAACACCGTGATCAGGTGCTTAGGCAGGTATTTACCTCACAGGAGCCTTGAGTCACTCATGGGCTTAGACACCAGGCTGAGGTGGTAAATTGTACATTACTAACTTGGGATCTTCTAAGTGTGGGTAATTTGTAGTTTGAATCTTGTCTTTTAAAACAAGTTTGACAGAAGGCGCTGATGAACTCTGAAGGAACTCTGAAGAGGCAGCACCTGAGCATTGGGCTCCACACTGAAGGCCAGGCCCTCCCTAGAGATGGACCAGCCCCGGGCCTGGAAATTAAAAAAAAAGAAAAAGAAAAAACAGAAACAAGCAAAAAAAAAAACAAAAAAACAAACAAAAAAAAAAAACCAGCCGTCCCGGTGGTTTTGTTTCTCAGCCTCCATAGTTCCTACCACGAATAAGTGCTTCCCACACTCCTCCATGCCCGGCAGTCTCCCGAGGGTCTTGTTAAAAGGCAGAGCCACTCATAGGTGCAGGCATATGAGATTTCAAACCTCCAACAGCTTCACAGGCAGGCCAATGCTGCTTTCCCTCTCTCAGAACAGCAAGGCTCTGAGTCTTTTTAAAGCACCTCCACCCCTCACCAGGACTTTTCTAAACACAGGCCATGTGCCCAGCACTCGCTAAACCTGAGAGGCTGGACCAGGGAAGCCTCCCCCCCCCCCCCCCCGTTCCAGGGCTCAGGGTTCAGGAGTGAGAGGAGGAGGCTGTGTCAAATGTTTGACTGCGTGTTGAAGGTGCGGAAAAGAAGCATCATGGATGTAATTATTCCCCCATTCTTGAAAAGCTAAGTCATTCTGCCTTGGCAACCGGCAATCAGAGGTGTCAGGTGACAGATTAAAACTTGACACCTAATTTGATCTGAGGGGAACTGAAAGTAATAAGTGCTTTATATTTGTGGAGAACCTTATTTTTTTCAAAGAGCTCAGAGCACTTTGCCAACTCCCTCGCCTGGAAAAGGAGGGCGGGGGGAGCTTTAATAACAGTCTTCAGGGCTTGAAGCTGCGTTATTAACAGAATGGTGGCCAGCTATTCCCAGCCACCCCCCAACCTCTCGTCCACCTGAAGGCTGGGAAACCAAGCCTTAAACTGTTGTGTTTGCCATGAATGGGGAAGATGTGGTCTTCAAAGAGGCTGTGTGGAGAGGGGACAGGTGCACAGGGAGGGAAAGGCAGTTCTTACCCTGTCAGCTCGGCCGCTTCCTGGCCCTGAATCGTGGACTTCTGTGTATGGTGCAGAGCATTGAACTCCTGGGGTCAGGAGGATGGCAGAACAAGAGTGGACACATGAGAGAACCTGAGGGTCCTTCCAGCTTGAAGGGTACTAGAGACCATCATGTAAGAACATCTGGAGAGTAACTCTGACTCTTATTTCACGGGAAAAAATATCTAGAGAAATTGTGTATGAAGAAAAGCTCGCTTGGCCCACAGTTCGGGAGAACCGAGGGCATGGTACCTGAACTGGCTTCACTCTGCCAGGACCCTCTTAGTTATACTGCATCATGATGGAAGGTGGTGGGGAGACAAGAAGTGGGGGGGCCAGGCTGACTCTGTTTATGACAACTCTCTTATAAGAAGTAACCAGGGCCGAGTGGTGGTGGCGCACGCCTTTAATCCCAGCACTCAGGAGGCAGAGGCAGGCGGGTCTCTGTGTGAGTTTGAGGCCAGCCTGGTCTACAGCGTGAATTCTAGATTGGTTAAGGTTACGTAGAGAAACCCAGTCTTGAAAAACAAAACCAAAAGAACTAACCAGGGGCTCACGAGAATTATCACTGCCTTCCAAGGGCACATGCCTCATGACATGACACCACCTGCTAGGCCCCATTTCTCCCACCGTCGTCACACAGAGAGCAGAGATGGTATGGGCATCAGTATCACTGAACAGAAGTGTCCTGCATGACGAGGTGGCTCTGATGTCACATCTCTCCTGCGTCCCCTCCTAGCTCTCCCTCACCAGGTAGCTCCACATTGCCTACGAGCCAGGTTCAGAAGAGGCTTGGGCTTGGCCCAGTCATGGTCCTTAATGACTCAACTGTGAGCCACAAGTCCTTCCTGCCAGCTCAGCATCCCTAGCCCCTCACCTCAGCACCTCTAGGAGAATGGATCTGACCATTCCGGTTTTGAGAGGGAAGCAGTTCTGCCCGAAGCACGCCATATTAAGACCATAGACAAGCTAGATATCTGAAGATCCCAGGGGACCTGTATCTGACAGAGCTCACAGACCTGGGTACAGCAATGCAGGCTGGTGTGTACCCCAAGTCCAGGCTGCAAATCTCCAAAGCCTGTTCTGCTTATTGAACTTCACGTTCAGATTTTCTTTTTTAATTATTCAGGTAGCATATTGCAATGCCTCTCCACTAAGGAAGTAGGAAATGATGAAAAGGTGAATCCATACAGAACAGCATCTCTGAGCTAAACAAACAACACACGCATGCGCTCACATGTGTATATGTATGCGCGAGCTCTCTCTCTCTCTCTCTCTCTCTCTCTCTCTCTCTCTCTCTCTCTCACACCTCACCTCACCTCAGAGAACAAAGAGAGGAAGCGACTTGTCCAAAGGCACCCACAGCTTGTGAGGTGCAGCTAGAACCTGGCTCTTGGCTCTGCCCCTGCATTCTTTCTTCATATGACCATGCTAAAATCTCCTAAAATGTAGGGGTATTGGTCTCTTCTCCAGGTCTTGTTTCTCCAATCTCATCTGTAGAGGTTCTGGCCCACTTCCCTCTCCCTTCCTGGTTGCAAGCGAAATCTCAGCCTGTGATCTTTGTCCTTGGTGACAATGCACAGCAGGGAGCAAAAATAGCAGTTTGATTTCCCCCCACATTCCAAGTTGAACTTGAAGTGCTGGCAGTTTAAAACGAACTGTACAAATAAATCTTGTTTTGACTCATAGTCCAGGGGGTGGATAAATATGGAAACCCTCAAGATATAATTTTGCAGTCATTTTTTTTCTTAGTATAACGGCGTGCTTTAATGTGCTGAGAAAAATTTTTTTCTGGCTCCAGAGAAATAGCAACATTCTCCCAGCTAAGTGCGTTTTCATGCCTCCAGCAAACAGATATTCACACATGCACATTTGGACATGCGCGTGCGCGCGCACACACACACACACACACACCACACACACCAGCTCAGCCCGGCAGCTGCACACCCAGGGCTGAGTGACAGTCTTCTGCTCCTAGTTGACAGTTCTTGTTCTGTAAAGCTAGAGACGGATGATCTTAAATTTCAACAAATCTGTCTTCCATCACGCTCAAATATGGAGAAAGGCAGCTATGGCAAATCAAAGTTCTAGAGAGATTTCTGTTAGAACATTCTAGAACAGGGACGTTTTCTAGAAGCCTGTTTTAAGGATCAGAGGCTAGTGGCTTAGCGAGCAGGACTTGCTAGAGGAATCATGCAGAGAGAAGGTGGCAGCTCCCAGTCTCCTGAGGACAGAGTGTGTGCCTGGCCAATGGGCTATGAGCTTTCAAACCGGCCCGTGGTGCATATTCTGGGATTCCAGGGCATTATCAACAACAGAGGGTAAAAAAGAACTGTTCACCATAGTCTCCCAGGCTTGGTAGAAGAATACCTCGCACTTTCGAAAGGAGATGTTCGACTGGAGGCAGAGCTTGGTGGGAGAGTGCCAGCCTTGCCTTCCGTTCCCGTCACCAAAATAACGATAATGAGAAATGACGATAAATTAAAATAATTAAAAATTTAAGAGGAAAATGTTGCAGCCTCTAATAGGTAATTATGTCTCTTTGTACCAAGTAGTACCAGATAGGCTGAAAACCTTGTTAGCAATAAGGAAGGCATCAACTTCAGGTAGACACTTCAGGAGTCAGGGAGGATCTATGGGTGATGGGGTCAGGATCATGTGGACTGCTGCTTGTCACAGTTAGCACGCCCTCTGGCCTTGTGCGATCTCCTTTACCTTGGAGCTGTGCCGTGTTCTCTGTTCTCAGGGCAGCCCACAGAGCGGAAGTGAGCTGTCCAGAGTGCTTGTGCAATGGATGAACAAGCAAAAGACAGGAATGGGATGCAGCTGGGAGTGTGGCCTGCTTTTCTGCTCTTTCTAAACTCTCCCCTTCCTCTGTCTAGGAATAGTTCCCAAAGAAGCGTGTCCTTCTTCCTGAGAGCGACGTTGGTGTTTGTTCTGAAGAAGGTCCACATCAGGCACGAGATGCAGGCCCCACCCCATCTTACTCAGACATTCGGTGCCCATCATCCCCTTTGCAAGGAAGCTGCAGCCTGACCTATTCTATCTACTAATAAAACCTGGGTTGAATTTCTATGCCAAGAATTTAGGTCTGATGCTCATATTCGCAGAATTTCCATGTCAAGAAATCCCACAAACCTTAGTCATTCTCACACATATGTCTACAAATAGATCTTTCTCATGTGCTCTAAACAGCAAGTCTTTTGGCCCAGTTCCCCAAATCCTCCTCTTTTCTTCCTTTTATGTGAAAAAAAACCCTCTTTGCATAAGTATTCTGTTGTCTGCGCACTCACAGGGCGGATTGGGGCATTCCCGTTAAGTAACCCTCGGCTAACAAGGAACCACATGTAGCAGTCCATATATGCTGTTAGCTGGTTTTCTCACTGTAGAGAAGTACTATTTACTTGTCAACTACCCATGCGATTTGATTTATTTTAGTGGGTCAGAAGACGGGAGACATCATTGTGAACATACATCTCTCTCTTCCCAGTGGGTGCCATTTTTAGAGCGTTCTATTTAGTAACGCACCCAGGCAGCAGAGTGCTCCCTAGAAATATGAATCTAGACAGCAATTTCAGAGAAGGATGGACCCGTGGACTCAGCAGCCTTCGTCTTTTGTTCTGTGGCTGAATTGTGCCTTTTTGGTCCTCTGAGCCTGATGTCCCTGTTAGCAAATGAGGATTACCTTCTCCCACTGAACTGCAGTAAAAAAAAAAAAAAATGAACGTGCAGATTAAGTAAACACAAAGGGTTTAATTTCAGAGGTAATTGCATTTAAACTTTAGACCAGGCATTCTGATCAGATGCTCTTTAGCCGTTTGCATGAGATGCCGAGGTAAAGCAAGTGAGACTTTTGGCAAAGCCAGAACTCAGGCTTCTAAGCGTCTATTATCCCACAGCCCCTCTATTTAGCAAAACATTTAGCTACAGTGAATAACTATTTGTTACCAAATTATGATTAAAAGCCCCTAATTAAGTAATTCAAAAAGTAAAACATCAACCTTCTTAAATGTAAACATTACTGTATTTACTCACTATATAACTGTGTGTCCCAGGCCCATTGTTCCACCTCTAGGGACACACATGTAGCACCCCCTTTTTGCCCATAGGGCAGAGCCTCCAGGATGTGGCCAAGATGTCACAGCCACTACAAGAACAAACACAGTTGTCATCTTGTGTGAAGTCATCTCTTCTGAATAGAGACTGTGGCTTCCATGGCACAAAGCTCTTCCCTAAGCCGGGCTTTCTTAGGAGTCAGAGCTCCCAGGAGTGTGAGTCCTTAGTGCCTGCCCCCAGCTAAGCTGACAGCAGCCACCTATGGAGGGAACTCTTTGGTTCAGTACGATGATTCAGATTTGAGTGTCTCCTCGGGGAGCTCATGTGTCACAGAGGTTCAAGACGCCACCTCTCCTCAAAGCAACCATAGACCAGCTCCAATCTACAGTAACTAATTTCCTAGGTTTGTTCTACTTTGTTAGCCTGGGTCTGGTGACTTAGCAAAGCTCTCTGTAAGTCAGAATTCACCATCCCTTGGTGTCCATGCCCTCTCTCTCATCCTGTTATTTCCTCTTCATTGCAAGTGGAAAGTTGGTATGTCTAATACAAGAGCCAGAGGTTGGTGAAAAGAGAGAGATCTTTGCATGGATGGGCAGTGGGGAGGAGGCGAGAGACAGGTCCTAGCACTTTGCAGAAGCATTGGCCAATGGACTCGAATCTCACTCTTCCGTGCTGGGCTCTCCTATGAGTCTGGATTCTTCCAGGCAGCCCTGTGAACCGGCTGTCTGGCATCATCCAGGGAGATTTCTCTCAGTGAAGGGATGATCTGTTCCGCAGGAAGCTGTGGGAGACCGGATTCCTGTTCTGCTGCTGGGCAATAAACTTGACAATGAGAAGGAACGGGAAGTCCCCCGAGGCCTGGGAGAGCAACTTGCCAAGGTAAAAAAAGCCCATATTTTTCTCTTTCTGGATAGGACAGAGGCCCTCCCGGTATTCAGGAATAAGCTCAGGAGCCCTGGTAGGAACTTCTGGAAGCCCTGTTGAAGGGAAGTAATTGAACATCTTGGCATCTTGGGAATGACTCGGGTCCTATACATGTACAGCTGTAAAGAGAGGTGAGGTTCGTAAGATGGAGCTGCATGAGGGACACTGGGTAAGAGAGTTGCCCTAACCCCTTTTATGTGTAACATGGAATTACAAGTTCTAAGAAAACGGGAGGCTGTTTCCTCTAATCTTGGTCGGGTGCTGAAATACCACCATCTGCATCTCTACTTGATCGCCCGAGACAATGAAAACCTCACCATCCCCTGAGCAGCAGTGTGGACCACTTTGCTGTGGAATATTTTTGATATAAAATCTCAAAAGTGAGATCTGAAAAACTCAAGGGGGAGGCTGAAAAAGTCTGATAAGTATCAAAAAATAAGTAGCGGCCTTTGGGACCAGCAGGGCCCAGTGGAAAATGGGGGGGCAGAAAGGCTCCCCTTGTGTTCCTTTCTTGCCTCTGGTTTCATGGAACTGTGTACCCAGAAGAAGGCACAGTGCCCAGTGATTTTAAGTTCTTAAAATTGTTTACTCAAAACAGGACTTAAGCTCAGAGCCCAAAATGAGCACAGATGGTAAGGATCAAAGGAGAGGATGCTGACGGGTCTGACTGGTGTCTGAGCAGGGTCACTGGGCACAGCCACGGTCCTGACATTCAAAGGATTTGATGATAGGCAGGCTTTTGGGTTTTGTTCCTTTGTTTGTCTTGTTTTTGCATCCCATCTAGCAGGATATCTAACTGGAACTGGCATGAGGCTCTTTATAAACCTTATCTCACTTATGGTGAATATCCAAATGTCTCATTAGAGAAATATTAATATATTTGATTACAACGATCTGTCCCAGACCCACTGAGGGTATTATGTAATGTGTAGTATATATTTATTACCTTTCTGAAATAAGAAACTTTGGAATTTCAAATACAGCTAGATAAAAATACTTCAGCTGAAGAATACAAACCTGAATTATTATTATTATCATCCCATTTTCTTTTACGTTCTCTCTTTTTTATTTTTGATTCTATTTTTGTACTGAGGCAAGGTTTACTATATCCCTAGATGACCTTGAACTCCAATCTTTCTGTTTCTACCTTAAAGTGCCAGGATTACAGATGTGTGCCAACATGTTCTTTTTATGCAGTGCTGGGGAACACACACACACACACACACACATACACACACACCACACACACATATTTAATTTTCAATTGGTAAAAAAATAAATAAACATGTAGACATTAGCTGAATGATTAATTCCAAGTGGAGTAGTCTAGGGCGAGCCATTGAAGCGGAAAGGCAAGCCATGTGTTCCAGGTCTAGGTTCTGGACCTTTCTGTTTGCACCTCCATCCTTGATGTGGCTCCTCTTATAGCCTTCTCCAGAGTCAGTGTTGGGCAGAAAGTACACAGGAAGATATAGAATATGTGGGGCACAAGGCAGAGACTGGAACAGGGTCTCTGAGTGTTGGACGAAAAGATCTGAATTGGAAGCCACTGTTTTCAAAGCCCCCTGAGCTAGTCTTCAGAGTGTCTAGGCCACCACCGACCCCACCCTCCAAAGGCAGAGCATCCAAACCAGAGCTCGGTTCTTTTATCACTGTTGTTATGAAGTAGGTAACCTATTACCTATTAATGGAAGTGATCAATGGACATGGGGTCCTTGGCCCAGAGCCCCCAGGTACACAGCATCACCTCTGCCTAATGAGTGATAGACAGTTGCCCATATACAGATGCTCACAGCTGGGGCAGTCACAGTACAAGCTTACTGGAGCCCCATGACCTCTGCCCAAGTCTACAGAAGAGCAACGTCCTATAGCAGCAGTTTTAGGGGAGCCCTTCTGCTCATTAAATGCCTGACTTGAGCAGATCTGCCACACTGCCTCTCGAGACTCGGATTCCCTGCCTGAAAAATGGTAACAGCGTTGTCCACTTTTGCCTTTCTACCTGCTTCAAAGGCGGATGTGAACCTGAAACAAGCAAGTCCAGTCTTGACCGAGCTTCAAGAAAGTGTAAAGCACAGGCGGGCACTAGGTTGTTATCGTAGAATTGCTATATTGTTACTGTTTGCCAATAGCTCCATACAGAACCAGCATTTATCCGGGGCCTAAAGAGAAAGAAACCAACTGGGACAGAGGAGGAGGCAAGGCTGTAGTCATAGCTCCTCGGCTTCCTTTGGTCCCCACACTCTTCCAGTTCCTTCCACATGCCCCTTCTGCTCTGTGATTCCAGGATAACAGTTTGATCTTCTATGAATGCAGCGCCTATTCCGGTCACAACACCAAAGAGTCCCTGCTCCACCTGGCCAGGTAGGAAAAGCACCCAGCCAGTGAAACACTGCTGAGCCCAGCTGCAGGCAGGCTGGCTGGTGCCTGCTGCCCTCCCTAGTTCCCGGTCAAGCCGGATCTGAGCCTCTTTTCCTGTCTTCTGAGCCCCTGAGTGCGGGCACAACTGGGATTTTAATGGGGGATCTTTGGGGGCCAAAGTCAGCCTTCTGAAATAATAGTGGAGGGAAGAAGAGCACCCCTGCCTGTCACCTCTACTGCAGTCCCCTTCAGTCGTGGAGGCTGCCCTTTGCCCAGAAAATGCACCTCCAAAGCGTCCCATCAGAAGTCTGCATTAGCAGTAGCTGACATCGCAGTGGGATCAGTTAAGAGCCTGCGTGGGAACAAGTGGAGTTCGCAGTATGGACTCTTGGGTTGGAGAGTGGGGAACCAGAGAGAGAGATGGGCTGTGTAAAAGTGAAGCAAGCAGGGCACCCTCCTGAAGGCAGGAACAGTACTGAAAGGGCTGGCCATGTAGAAAGACTCCAAGAGTCTGTCTACACTAAAAAACGAGGCAAACCAAACCACCCCGGGAGCCTTTTCAGCACCCGAGCATCGGTCCATCCTTCCAGCCAGCAAGCACTGAGCGCTACCCAGGTTACACTCAGCACTCCTGCTGGGGCATCTGAAAATCCCTGACTTTGAGTAATTAAGACTCAAGGACAAGTCTTCTATGTGTTAGAGCGGCTAAGGGTTGTGACATACACTGAAGGGAAAGTTCTCGACCTTTCTCTGCCATCACTCACTGACTACATTGGGAATGTAAGGCAATAAGTCACACCCTCCCTGCCTACTAACAGGTTGTGAAATCAAAGGAGACAAAGCAGGTGTGAGTGCCTGGGGCGCACAGAGGAAGACCCTTCCTGCCATTGTCACCTCGCACCTCCTATGTTTACCTGGAGCCCTGGGCACAGGTGCCATCCTGCAGAGTTGACAACCAGTCATGAACATCTGCTGAGCTTCAGATGTATAATTTGTAATTGTGGTGGCTGCAGAGTCCCCAGGATAAAGGCGCAGTCTTGGTCCTTAAGCAAACGCATATGACCCTGAGCAATGGAGTCACACAGAGAGGGATTAGCGTGCTGCAGGGACCGAGGTTCAGCAAGATGATCAGGGGTGGCTTTCCCGGTGGAGGTGTCGCGACGAGTCCATGGTGACTGAGCTCTGTCCTCACAATTATAGTCATGCTCCCATGTAGACTTTAAACACTGGTGCTCAGGTGAGGGCTGCTGGTCCACGGTGCCAGCCCCCAGCCTGGCAGTTTCTGCGGCTAACACTATCTCTTCTTCTTCCCCCTCCCCACACTGCCCAGGTTACTCAAGGAGCAAGAGGACACAGTGAGGAAGGACACCATTCAGGTTGGCCCCCCAGCCAAGAAGAAATCCTGTTGTGTCTGACAGGAGGCCTCCGCGGCCATCCCAACCGCGCCCAGTGCCACCTTCAGCTGACAGGAGGCCTTCCGTGGCCATCCTAACCGCGCCCAGGGTCACCTTCAGCCAGCAATCCTCCACAGGCCAAGGTCACGTGGCTACCTGAACAGCGCTTGGTCTCCTATGTAGCAATACCTGGCAAGGCCCGCCCTGCCTTGTCCTTGTTGGTGACTTGCCTCCCCTAATGGGAGGAAGCGCCTGCAGCCAAAAGGCTGTTTTTTCTTCTATCTTAAAGATCTCTTCTACACCCCAATACCTACTTCTTCCCCACCCCCAAGGTGCTTTGGTGAAGGACAGGAGCAGATGGGATTTTCCAGAAAAGTCACCATGTGCCTTCGACACCTCCCTTCTCCTCGCTGCATGCCCTTAGGAGGCGCTGCACTGAGGTTGCCATGGCAACTGTGCAGGGGCAACGTGATGTTTCTTGAAGGCCAAAGAGGTGCCATTTGGGTGATCCTGAGGTAGACTGCCTTTGCTTTGGCCCCTGTTCTCCAGAAAGCAGAGAGCTGCTGTGGACATGCACGTCATGGACCTTGAGACACTCGAGGGTCTGCTCCAGTTCCCGGGGCTCTTTCTCTGCTTCTTCCTGAGTTCCCGGACCACAGGCTTCACAGCCTCTCCCAGCAGCCACTGCACCCTCTGGATCTGTGCTGTGGTCTCTGCAATGTGCTTCCTGAAGAGCCTCAACCCTGACCCCAGGGTGAACGGCAGTGACAACTCCACACCTGGAGCCACACAGCAGGCGTATTCCTATGCCTTCTTTGACAAAGAAACCAAAAGAGGAAGCCATCTATAACCAAAGACGGTGACTGTTCTGGAGGGTCTGAATAAGATATGTGTGGCTGTGTAGAAGGCATTTCCTCCAAATACCTCTTTGGGAAATCACATTTGGTTATTGACAAGGTAGATTGACAGGCAGGTGTGGCAGGGGATGGGGACCCAACACTAGGTCCATAATTATTGGCTTCATTTTATTTCATTTTCCTTTATTCTAGGAGGTTGTATTCTTTTTTAAAATGTAGCTGTGATGTTGACATTTTGCTAGTGCTTAAGAAGTGAGCTGCCTGTAGCTGCTGGCTTCAGCAGAGGGGCCTGACTTCAGGGTCCGTTCCCTGCTGGTGGTCAGTGCTGTCTGGCTGTCTGGCTGTCCTGTTACTGCTCAGCGCTGACTGTCTGGATGGTAGAAGGTACATCTTTGCGCTGGATGGAAGACAGGATAAAAAGACCACAAAGGTCCCTATTTACAAGTGATTGACATTCCAAGTCAATAGCTGAAGAGCCAGGCACCAGCTCCAGGAAAGGCTGGAGGCCCAACAAGCGATACTCACTAAGGGGACAGAATATTAGGGGCAACCTCACACAGCCACATAAACAAAGAGCAACAGTGAGCTAGAGTTCCTAGGCACGTTTTACAGCCTCTTCCCCAGCGCCACTAAGGAACGAGAGCCCCCATAGTTATCGGGCACATGCTTGCTTGCATTTCTCAGGGTTTTTCCTGATCTCGCCTGTGCAGGAAGCAGAGAGCTGTGGAGGATGTTTAGCGATCCTCTACCTGAGCGTCACACCTGAGTGCCTTGAGGAGGCCATGATCTCAGTGGGCCAGCTCCCACTCCACACCCCTGCCCCATCAGTTAAAGACACGATGGCTTATTCGATGCTGGGGTCGTTCTGCTCGGATACATAGGGTGCCTTGTGATGGCTCTGTGACACAGTCATTGTCCTTCACGGGCTGGCCTCAGACCTCAGTTTCAGACTGGAGACAACGCCCAAGAAGCCCCGCTCCCTAGCAGAAGTGCGTTGGTGGTAGTTACGCTCCTGGGTTGGAGCCTGCAGAAGGGATATGGGAGCCAGTCAGAGGGAGTGCTTACTCTGCGTGTGTGGAGGATGGGTACAAGGTAGGATGGCCGTGGGGAGCGTGGCTGGCTCCTTTGCTTCTGACTAGAGACAGAACTGGAATTCACTAAGTGAAAGGGCTGTACCTGGGATCCTCTAGGTCCCCAGATGCCTTAATGCCCAGCACAATGTCCCTACTAGAGCTACCATTCCTGTTTAAAAACAAAGTGCCTTGAAGGATTTGGAGGTCCTGGAGGAACCCTGGTGCCAAGCCTTTGGACATGTGGCAAATTCCGTGATTATCCAGAGGTCCAGGAGTGGGTAGAAACAGAGGCAGGAGGCCTAGGTTGCCCTCTCCCTTTTTTAGCCCCACTATAAAGGATAGAAGAATGTGAGCTTCCGTGGGGCTCTGAGAAGTCCCTTGTCCCCAGCTCTCTGCTTCTCCTCCTCCCATTCTGTTTCAGATACTGTGTGGTTCTGAGCCACCCTTAGGAGCTGTCACGCTGGCCCAGAGGCTGGCAGAGCATTCAGAAGAACCTTCTTCTGGTGCCATCCCATCTGTACCCCTGTTGACTGACCAGCTTTCCTGCTCATTCGTCATAGACCAAAAGTTTCAATGTCTTCCTCCCATGGAGCTCAAGTTACAGAGACAATGGCCAGGAAGGACCCAGCCCTGTCCTCAGTACTTCACCGGTGCTGGTTCCCAGGGCCTGTTTTCATGGGTAGCACAGAGTCACTGCCCAGCCCACTTTCCAGACCTCTGCCCTGAACGGACACACTTACCAGCCCAACTCATCTGAACATCTCACTTTCCCACATCCTTCTCACGCATAGCTGACCCAGCTGTTTTCTGTCTGCTGCCACCCACAACCTTAGGCTGCCAAGTCAGGAAAGCCAGCACCAAACTAATGTCCCAAGGGTTTCGTTCCTGCTTAGGGATTGATTCTCGCAGCATCTTTGGGGTATTTCATGTTACCCTGCGAACATGCGGTTTCTTCCTTCTCCCCCTTTGTACTTTCTGTCCTGTTCTTCACCTAATTCTGGACTCCCCACCCTCTGTCCTCAGAAGTCCACTCGATCCAGACCTGTGAACTTTGCCCAACAGCCCTACTCTGTGTCTGCCGTGAACAGTGATCTGAAAGGTCTTCATCTAGTTTCAATTAAGGTGCTAACAAGCGGTGGCCCCAGGGCTGCCACTCTGCTTTTAGGGAGCTCTAAGAAAGGGAGTGTGTCAGGTCAAAGGACGAGTCTCTGGTCGCAACATTTTAATCCCTAAGAGTTTACAGGGATCAAATATTTGAGACCATGCTGCCTTTCCCTCCTCCCCTCTCGGAGGTCTGTTTGCTTCATGCATTGTGAGCTCCGCTGCTAGGTTCAAATATATTCAAGCAATAGCATCTTGAGTATATAGTAGCATCCTCTGTGTTCACTAACAAACTTTTGTCTTAAAGTCGGGTTGTGGTCCCTCTTTTATTTTCTGTTTACATGGTATAGTTTTTTACCTTCCAACCTGGGTATCTTTAGAGAGTCTCTTATAAATGCAAGATAGTTGGCTCATGGTTTTTAAAAAAAGTCCATTTCCAGTATCTTTTAATTGGAAATTTTAGTTTGTTTTCATTTAATCTGATTAATAAGAAAGGATATGTCTACCACTCTGCCATTTCCTTTCTATATATAATATATATTTTAGTCCTTTGTTTTTCCATCACCACCTTTTTTTCTATTAAATAGATATTTGCTGGTTCATTATTTAATTATCTTATCTGCTTTCTATTTTTAAACTATATCTTCTTGGTACTTACAGTAAAGGTTACAATGAACATTTCAATTTGTAACTATATATTTAGATGAATAACAACTTAATTTTTTTGTTCTTTTTTTTTCCAACTTAATTTTTTTAATTTAGGGCTTTACTTTTTATTTCACCCAACTGCTAACTGACTTAAGATAGCAACATAAATGAACAACAAAATATTAATTGCCTGTTTTTAATGCTGAATTAATTTTGAATACTAAGTAAATCCTAAAATGTGATTTTTGAAAAATGTAGCTTTGAGATGCTACAAGTATCAGAAAATTATGAATCTCCATCTTGAGTATTAGTTAAATAACAACTTATTTTTAATAAGACACAAAATTCTGATTCTGTGTCGTTCTATTCTCCTTTGTGTTGATATATTATCAATAATTATCTTTATACCAGTGAGCCAGTCATGTAGATTTACAGTTATTGCTTCATGCATTCATCCTTTAGTTTGTCCTTTAAAAGGAGTTATGAGTGGTCAAGGTGCAGAGAATAAATGTCAACGGAATGCTCATCTATAAATGGGATGTTTATATCTCAGTAATCCCAAAACTCAGGGACCATCACAGAAGAGAGGACGATATGACCTCTCTTTGCTTGGGGCGGGCCAGGCCAAAAAGGCATCGTCTGAGTGTCTGACAGGACCTCTTCACACATGAACTCATCGTACCTGTGGTTGCCTGAACAAGATCAAGCCAGTCAACATCCCAGCATCGGGTGGAAGATGCTCATGAACCTCTACCCTCAGACAAGGGGCTGCTGATGGCTTCTGGGGAGGAATAATCAGTTTTCTTTAAGGGTGTGGCCCCTGGGGAATCAACCATGCTCCAGTGGATGGCCTAACACTTAGGAATATATGGACAGTACTATTTAGATTCAGTGGGTTATTAAAAACTCACAAAAAGAACGAAAAATTGGGAGAGAATATTGAAAATGAGGAGTTGGGTTTGGGAGAAATTGGGGGAGAGATGGGGTGAATATGATCAAAATATATGTACATATGAAATTAGCAAAGAATTAATAAAAATATTTATTTTAATAGTGTCATAAGTAAAAGATACATTTATGTTGTCTTTTATATTTAGCTGTATAATTTTACCAGTGTGATTATTGCTTCATGTTTTTCACATACCTGACTCTCTCTGTTTGCCTGAAGGATTCCCTTTGAGCTTCTCAGGATCTACCTACCAGAGCAAAACTCGTTCAGTTTCTATCTATCTGGAAATGTATTAGTTTAGTCTATTTAGGGATATAGTTTGGCAAGATAGAAAATTTTTAGTTAGCTTTCTTTTTCAATACCATGTCTATGCTACTCCACTGTGCCTGGCGGCCATAGTTCCTGGTATGAGATTAGCTCAGCCCCACTGAAGATTCCTTGTATGAGATGTTGCTTTTCTCTCTGGGCTTTCAAAGTTCTTTGTCTTTTGTGGATGGATTTTGATGTCTGACTGTGAGTCTCTTTCCATACATCCTACTTAGATGCTGTTGAGCTTCTTGGATGGTTGACTAGGTTGATAGCTTTCATAAGTTGGGAAGGTTTCTGCCATTATTTCTTCTCATCCCTTCTCTTCTGCTTCCAGAATTCTCGCTATGCAGAGCTGGTATTATTGATAGTCTCCTGGGTCTTTACAGTTCCATTTGTTCCTCTCCATCCCATTTCCTCGGTGTTCCTCACTACGGAGAACCTCAATTGGCCTGCCTTCAATGTCACCGATTCTTTCCTCTGCCTGATCGAATTCAGGTTTTATGTAAACTTTTATAATCACTATTGTACTTTGTAGCTCCAGAATATCCATGTTGTTCATTGTTAGGATCGATTTCCTTTACTTGGTAAAATATGACTCGCCCCTTTTCCTAGTTCCTCAGGGATGGCTTCCCCCAGGTCATGTGGGCACATTTAAAATGGCTTGCATTTAGGGTGGCAAGATGACTGAGTGGGTAAAAGCACCTGCCACAAAAGCCTGATGACCGACAGGGAAGTTTGAACCCTTGGTGGAAGGAGAGAACTGGATTCTAGAAGCCATCTTCTGGCCTCCATATGCATGTGTGGCAATTGTGCACTCTGGTTACACACACACACACACACACACACACACACATAGTGCTAATGATAATAACAATACACAAATGACTTTTTAAATAGCTTAGATTTCAAGTCTCACATCTGTGTGCAAATCAAGTCCCTCCTTCCTTTTTCACAGTGTGTATAATACAGCAGGAATCTGGGCTCCCTGTCCTCTCTTGTGAATTGAACAAGGGAAGAATGCATTTCGATCAGGAAAACTCTGTCCTCCAACTGAGCTCCGGGAAGCCCTTGGTGAAATGAGCTCCCCCCGGGAGGGTTCAGGCCCTTAGGTAGGTGAGGGGATGCTGGTGTCCTCGGCTAGATCTCCATGTTCTTACTCCCTGCATTAGAGACTATACAAAGCTCTGCTAGCAGAGGACAATGGTGCAAAGGTAGAAAAATCACATCTGGAGTTTGGGAACTAAAAGGCAGTTTTACTGCAGAATATTGAAAGCAGAGCCCACATGCATGGCATGGTGAGCCTAATTCCTAAGTGGCTGCTGGTTGGAATCAAAGCCCCTATTTGACTTCCAGGTCTGGCCCTGACCTTGGCCCTGGCCCTGCGAGCATGGCACCTCTCCTCTCTTCGTGCTCAGTCAGGATCCATAGGACACGACTCTATCGATTAACCCTATCCTCTTTGTGTATGGGTAAGAGGACGCCCGAGCCATCTGAATCTCCAGCACCCTCCCTAGCTACCTCTGGTGGGGTTTCTATCAGTGGACATATTCATTACCAGGAGCAGCCACGCTGAAGAACCTTCCACATGATTCAGTGGGGCCAATTTAATCAAAGTGTCCTACTTAGGAGAACATTGCTGGGAATGTTGGGATTTGGAGAAACCATATGGTGCTTGGCAGAGGACCTGAAATCGATGTGGAAGCTGAGGCGCACAGGTGATGGGGTGCCATTCATCATCCTGGCTGAAACAGGTCCAATAAGTGACCCTTGTTCCTAGCTGGGACTTCATCAAGGCTATGGCTCAGATCCAGAGGGGACTTGTCATAGTACCAGGAAGCTCCTCTCCCTACAAATGAGGACTCTGAGGACCAGTGAGGCCTGTGCCGTCGTGATGAATTATGACTGGCTCCATCTGACCTATAAAAAGTACAACCCGTAAAAACCCTGCACTCCTAAGCAAAAATACCCAGAGAACACAGACAAGGGGCATGGGGTTGCTACCTTTAATGCGGAAACCAGAACTGAAATACAGAGGTGTAAGACACAAAATGCTATGGGCTTCATTGGGGATTTTGGAAATGTGGCTATGCAAATGTGCACTAGGCCAAGCGTAGTGTTTGGTCGTGGTTCAATGCAGCAAGCATGGGCTCTTCCAGCCCCTCTGAATAATGCTAGTCAAGTGGCTAACCAGTGTGTATAATGCTCATTCACACACTGACCACAGAGCTCCAGGGAATGGCAGGCATGGGACTGAGATCCCAAGGGAGCACCACTTATCTTTACATCTCCAGTTTGGTCTACATGAGATCATGAGAGCAAAGCATCATTTCTTCAGAGTAAGCCCCATCCCTGGAGGAGCTGCTGTATCGGAAGCCCAGGTCCTACAGGCTGGGCAACTCGGTCTAGGCAGACTCAGCTGGTTCAAATGAGGTACTCCTTCTGGCTTTAAGACAACATGCTGGGGAACATTGCAGCTGCTGCGAGTCGATTGCCTTTCAGATCATGTGAGGCCCATCAGAGTGTTCCATCTCGTCCCCTGCAGCCACCCCAGCTGCTAGTGGCAATCCATTACCCCTGGGCAGCCCAACAGCTCAATCGACTTGGGCTCAATGCCCTGTGCATAGCAGATGCTTCCCTGCCCAGGTCTTCTTCAACCTGGTATAAAACCAGCCCTCCCTACCCCCACTGTGCCCATCTCAGAAAGCTTTCTCTCGCGTTCAAAGGCCTGCTCGGAATAAGGTCCTACATACATGCTCTGTGGTCTTGAACAACTGGCATGGCTCTGAGGCCACCTACACATCTGTAATGTAACACCCTGTCACCCATTGTGGGCAAGGAAGAAAGATAAATGAAAACTCGTGGGGAAAGTCCAGTCAACTGAATGGCTCCAAGGAAGTCATAGTTATTGCATTATCTCCCAGAAAAGGGACCGGCGCATGGTAGGATAGAAGCTGGGGAAAACGTACTTCTGGATAACCAAGAGAAGCAGAGGTTACAGGTAAAAATGCCTCCCATTGCCTCTTGAAGAACTAACTAAATATTGTTTCTTCAAGCTCTGAACTTTTATCTAAGCACACCATGTTTCTTTATGCTGTGCTTTGAAGCTGTGCAGGCCTGGCATCATCAGTTGCGATGTGTTCCGGGCAGAATTCTGGCCTCCTTCAGTTCTGTATTTATCAGGGTGTGGTAAAGAATAGATTCCGGGTATATGGACCAGAAAATACCGGAGACCGCGTGCTCCAAATTTACCCACTTTTATACACATGCTTTATAGAACATGGGGTAGTGAGAAAGTTCTAGAAATTGAGGATGGGAATGGCTCTATGTGAGAATGTATATGCACTTAAAGGTACTGACTTACACATTTTAAGTGGCTTAAACTAAATTCTGTGCCTATTTTAATTAAGAAAAAAAATTTTGGGGAACAATTGTCTATACATCAAGAAAGGATTTGATTTTCTCCTATCTGAAAGTGAAGCTCAAGGGTGCTTCTCGTTGGTTTTGGGGTACGTGAGGAGTTGAGGGAATCTAGAGGAAAACAAGCAGACTTCCTGCCTCGGAGTTCCAAGACACATGAGAGGAAGAAACCCCTAAAGCCTCACAAGGGACATGCCATGATCATGCCACTATAGCACCCACAGTCTCCCCCCTCCCCCCCCGGGGACCTCTACCAAGCCCTTGGCTCTCTACTCCTCCCTGGAGCCTGCAGAGGAAGAACCTCAGGGCTCTTGGTATGCATGTTATCCATGCCCAAGCTTCTGTTTGTGTATTTGTTTCCACCATTTTAGGAGAGGACATCAGTGGGACCCCTGTGTGCCAACAGGACTATCGAGAGGCCCCAGAGTGGATACAAGAGAGTGTATTGGGTGACAACATCAACAGCCAACAACTCTTGTTGCTCTTGGAATTCTACTGCCTTGACCACAGCAGAAATAGATTCAAAAACACCCAGGAACATCTGAGCTCTTAAGAGATTCGCCCTGAAACCATTACTGATGAAGAAAAGCTGGAGAGGGAAAGGGAAGCTCATATTCCAGGGGCACAGGCAGACGTTGGCATTAAACTTGCCCTGAGCAGCTCTAGAGGTTGGGTTAGAGCCATGAAACAGCATAAGGTTGGAGAATCTCCCAGAGGAGCTGACCTCCTGGAGCTATGACCGGAAATGGAGTTAGCACTCCTGGTCCTCTGCTCCCAGGAATGAGAGTCATGGAAAGAATGGCTCCCAAGGCCCACACCCCCACTGTACCCTAAGACCCGAGAAAGGAAAGGAGGCACCCACTTCCTCATCACCCAGGTCCTCTCCCTCCGTCCTCTGCCCCCTCCTTCCTGTAGGTCCCATGTTGTGGAGGGAAGCACCTGGCCTAAGTGTCCCCCAGAGAGTTCTACCTCTTCCCTGCTGTGGGCAGAGGTGCTGAGTCCCTGGCAGGGCCCTGCCACCTTCTCTATTGTAGCAAGTGGAATTACCAGCTTCACACCATGGGTCTATTTAAAACAGCCTTTCACATCTGATGGATTTAAAAATATGCTAGAAGCTGGAGTCTTGCATGCAGAAAACACAAGCAAGCAGATGAGGCCTCTCTTCTTCCGCCTTGCCCTTCCACCCACACCTTCCCCCCCCCCACTCTGCCACCTCTCAAATTCGGTTCCATTCATGAGGTCCACGTCCCTATATCTGCCCATCCCTCTCCTCTTAGGCACAGGGGGTCTGCAGCCTG